CACCCCCAGCCTGGGCATCCCTGGAGCTCTGGCAGCCTCGGGGCCGTGCCCATTCCCTGGGGAGCCTGGGCAGTGCCAGCACCTCTGGGGGAAGAACCTTTCCCTAAATACAGCCTGAGCCTGCCCTGCCCAGCTCCAGCCGATCCTTGGGTCTGTCCCTGTCCCAGAGCAGAGATCAGAGCTGCCCCTTGGGAGGAGCTGAAGCCCCCAGGGAGGTCTGGGCTCAGTCTCCTCTGCTCCAGCTGAATGCACCAAGTGCCCTCAGCCACTCCTTGTGTGGCCCCTCCTGAGCCTTCAGCATCCTTGTGGCCTCTTTGGGATGCTTTCTAGGATTTAAGATCAAGCACCACTTGGAGAATTCACTTTAATACATCATATTCCTCTTCAAAGATGAATTGCCTGCTTTCTAACAACCCGAAGGACTTAAAAACGTATTCTCAGCTCTTCCCACCGGCAAAGCTCACGCAGGAAGATCACATCCATCTCACATGGGTGCCAGAATGCTCCTGGGGAGGACCTGGACTGCAGCACTGACAAGGAGCTCCATCACCTCACCACAAAAGACTGAACCCCTGATGTCTTTGGTGCTACTTCAGCACCTCTCAAGTGTGGGTGAGAGCCAAAGCTCATGGTTGAGCCATGGCAAGTCTCCAGCTGGGTTGGATATTGAGTTTTGGGGGACATTAACATCCTATTCTCCTCCTGGTTATCACCACAAGCTCTTACTGGTTCCAAGTGGACAGGAGCTATTTTCTCTGTGCTCATGTCCAGTCCTTGGCAGTTACAGGGGCAAACCCTGGATTTTTATCCTGCCTGCAGGAAAGTTTCTTGGCTCCATGATCAGAACTCCAAGTTGATAAAGCTTTTCCATTTGTAGTGGATACAGAGTTACTTGCAACATCCATCTGGAAATACAGCACTAACATACAATAGAGTCATCCACAGAATCACTCTTGCTTCTAAATGGAATTAGCTTGTAAACAGACATAAACAAGCACCAGCTTCAAGGCAAGAGAAAAGCTTTGGTGGCTGTGTCCTGGGGAAACCTTGTGCAATAGTAAAAAACCCGCAGTCTGCTTCCTGCCCTGCTTACAGTGAGTCCTCATGCACATTTTGTAAGAGAAACTGCCTGGGTATAAAAAGAAATGACTCACTGAAATTGGTAACACTGAACACAACTTGGTTTTGATCCAAAGCCAAAAATGTTTTATTTATTTGAAATGTAAACGGTTCCTTTATCAACTGCCCATTTCAGGGCAGTTTCCTTCCAAATAGGTTGCTCAGCCCAGAGTTTTGCAAAATCCTGGGAAACAGAAAGCAGCAAGGAAGATGCAGAAACCCTACTGGCTGATTTATGGAGAGTGGGAAAGGGGCCTCCCATCCCTTGTGAAAGCAATTCCCAGAGCTGCCTTTGCTGGAGACTTGCTGCTGTAACAAGATGAGCAGCGCAGCACCAACCACAGCTTCGAGGCTTCGTTCTGCTTCCAGCCCGGCCTGGGAGCACCCTGAGGGCAAAGGGATCCAACAGGATCCCGGCTGTTTGCTGGAACCTCTCCTCTCTGGGCACCCTGGGGTTCCTGCTCGCTTTGGGTCAGCCCAGCCTGGCTCTGCTGGGGACACAGCTGCTGCCTCCAGCTGTGGATCCAGCACGGCTTGCTCGGGTTTAGCCCGGGCTCTCTGCCGTGTCCAGGGTCTGCAGCCTGCCTCGGTGGGAGCAGGGGAGGCTGAGATGCTGCTGGAGCTGTGTTGCTGCCACCCAAGAGCATCTTCCTGCTGTTTTGTGACAGGATTTGGAGGACCTGGAGGGAAATCTGGGGGTCTGCCTTTACCCCACCAGGCCCAAGGGACACACAACAGCCCCAGGACAGGTCAGGGGCATTTGGGGAGTGGATGGTGCTGGGAAGGAGGGATGGTGATGAAGAGAAGGGGATGCCTGTGGGCTCACACGTATGTGCAGCATTCATGGAAAGGAAGGGGATTGATGTGGTGTGTGCTGGCAAAGCACAAGGAGGAGGAAATTACCTGTTTGTGGGAAAGAAAACAAAAATCAACATTTTAACAGTTGTGTTTCTTCTGAAACGAAGAGCAAGACCTTCCCCAGCCATCAACCAGCAGCACAGACATGCTTGGGAACAGGGAAATTTATATCCCAGCCTCTTCTCTGGCCTTTTTCAATTCCACCCATGAGAGAGATGAGTTCAAGATGGTGTGAAAACCATCTGGAGGCTCATTGAATAGTTGTGTGGTCCCACTTTGAGCAGCAGAGACATAGCACAGCCTCCCCTGCTCCAGTCCTGCCAGGGATAACAAACCCTGGAGCCACGGGCTCTGGGCACCTGAGCCTGAAGTGGAAAATCCCTCTCGAGGGTGCACAAAGCACATTTTGGCAAGGCTGACCCACAGCACTGCTGGATTCCAGCACAGCCACGACCCCAACCATGGAAACCACCTCCCTTTGGAACAACCTTGGGGAAGCGTTTCTGAACACTCCAGTGCTGAAGGGGACACAGCTCTGGTTTAAAAAGCTCCTTCAACCAGCTTTGCTGCAAAAAGCCACTCTATGGCCCAAAAGGAACCACATGTGAGGGCCCCAGGCTGAATGGTGCTGAAGCCACAACCCTTTTCTCGAGGACAAAGCACACGATTGAAGGCACCAGTGCCCTGGTCCAGGATGGGAGTGGGTGGGAAGGGGTTTCCAGGGAGAAAACCTCGGGGGGCTCTGGCACTGATACCCTTCTACAAAGGCCTTCAGCACATTTCTTGAAGAAACAGCTGGAAATGTTCCAGCAGCAAATGTATCCGACTCCAAAAAATATCTTGCTTACATCCAGACACTTAGAAGTGTCTGGATGGTGAATAATGTAGAGAGGAGAAAGTGTCGTGGGGCAATTAATATGCTGAGGCTGTACGTGGTGGCAAGGAGAAGAAAATAGATGGTCACAGGCAAAGTCCATAAATAATAAGTGTTATTTGGGAAAGGTTGGGCGCTTCTGCAGCTGGCTGGACAGAGCACAGCAGCTCTCTTGAACCCCTCCAAGACTCCTTTTTCCTCTAATGCCACCACTCTCTTTCTCCTGAGGCTGGAATTTGCCTGTCAGCTGCAGAGTGCAGGATGGAGACAGCAGGCTCCCCCTCCATCCATCCCCACGTCCTTCCCACTGGCTTGGGCTGCCAGGAGAGTGCAGTGGTTTGTCTTTACAGTTCCTGCTCCAGAGAAAGTTGTAGGATTTGGGAATTTTAGGTTGTCAGATGAGGTTTGTTGTGGAAACCAGGGTGGTGCAGGATCCAGGCAGTACGAGAGGGTGAGAACAGGGGTGTGTACCCCAGTTCCTCGTACACCCACAGCCACCTGCAGCTTACCTGGTAAAATGAGAGACCCCTCCAGCCCCTCCAATGGCTTTGCAAACCCCACTGAGCATTGTGTGATGGGTCTTGGCACAAGGGACAAACCAGTCCCACAGAGCATGATCACAGCTGAAAGAATAACTTGAGCAGGCAAAAAGATCAGCCACAGGTTTTCCCTGCCCTAGGAGAAATATGACTGGGACAAAAAAATTCCATGTTTGCCTGAGCAGAATAATCTGCAAATGCAATCAGCCATTTGAATGATTGATGCTCCTTGCTCTGCTCAAACTTCTCCATCAAAATTGTGGGGGGGAAAAAAAATCGCTGCTGTGGCTCTCCTCAGATCTCCCTGAGTGCAAGGACACAGCCACACAAGCCAGCACAGCCCCGAGGGAACCACCAAGAGTACAAAGCAGCATTTGATGTTCCCGAGCCTGTTCCAAGCAGCCCCGCTCCCCAGACCGGGAATCCGATCACAGCAACAAAAGCAAACAAGCCACGGTTTAAACAGAAGCAAAAACGTTGGAAGGGAAAAACCAATGAGAGCCAATGTTTACCCCGAAGATGGGAGAGTTTAGAAATTATGGCTGGGAGCCAACTCTCCAATATTTTTAGTTTCAGAAGTTTGCAAACCTCAGCTGCCAACGTGGCCCTGAGCCCTCAGTCCTTGGACGGGTGACCTGCGGCAGGTGCAGCTCCAAACACCCCTGGGGAGGAGCAAGAGGAAAAGTTCAATGCCTTATTTTGGGGCACATTAGAGAATGGTTTGCAATTTATCAGCTAATTACAATTAGAGCAGAAACAGGTGAGGTGATTAACATGGTTATGACACAGTGAAGAAGCTCAGGGGGGCATTAAGGAAAGGGAAAACGGACCCCAAAATGCAGTTTTAACATGGATTCATACTGAGAACAAGGTCTTGCTAATTTTAGTTAAAAACCCAACTTTGGGAGCTGCTTTAAGAAGATGAAGAGTTCTGGGATTGTTTGTGATAGGAAACCACGAGGGATTAAGGAATTAGAGAGGAAACCATGAGCCTTCCAGTGCCTACAGGGTCTCTGGGAAAGCTGGAGAGGGACTTTAGACAAGGGAGTGGAGGGACAGGACACAGGGAGTGGATTCTGTCCCGGTTTGGAAAACAGGTGACTGCTAGGGAGGGCAGGAGCCTCCCTTGGAATGAAAATGTAGGTCCACTCCCTCCAAATAATTATAATTTTGAAATCAAGGGGCTCTCAGGCAGAGATCTGGAAGCAGGAATAACAGTTTTTTTACTTTAAGATCCCTTGAAAGTCCCTTCCATCCCAAATCATCCCAGGATTTTAAGATTAAAACCTGGCAGCAGCAGAGGAAAGTGAGGAACTGGGGATCAGGCACAGCTGCAGCAGTCAGTGCTGTCCTGTGAACACATCAGGGAGAGCTCGAGTACAGAGATAAAACACAGACAAAAAAAGACAAAAACGAAGATGCTGCCTTGTGCTGTGACTGCCAGGTTTAGGTCTAGGGGAAGGACAACATGTGATGACCAAATCCTCCCAGTGCCAGCCCAGCTCTGTGTCCCTGACACTGCTGAGCTCAGCCCCACACACAGAAGAAACAAACCAGGTGTGAATGTATATTAATTTTATTCACATTTCCAGAGGAAAGCATTGGTGGAGTGCAAGGTCATGGCTAGTGTCGAAAAGCTCAAGTATTTGGTTTAAAAAAGCAGAAATTTCTGAGGCTGAGCCGAGCCCCTGCTCCCTTCCCCTGCATGTGCTGCCTCATCACATATTGAGGGGAATGTCAAAAACTTTAAAGGTCTCTGTGGTACAAATCCCTAAGCAGGGCAGAAAGGCAGCAGGCAGGAACTCTTACACAGCTGAGCTGGCTTATCCCTGGGCTGAGTGTTGGGCTTTTCCTTTGACTGCTGAGGTTTGCTCTTGGTGATGCCAAACGCTCCTGTCCAACTTTCCTGAGATTCATCACCCAGAGCTGAAATTTGCTGCTGCTGTATTACGAGGATGATTGTTGGTGATGGCAAAGAAAAAATTTAACAGGACTTCCAGCCGAGGAGAAAAAGAGGAAAAAAAATGGATTGCTTTGAATTTCAAAAACAGCGATAAAGGAACAAAAACACAGCCAGGAGTAACATTTTTGAGAACTGGAAATTCCCAGCTGGACTGCTGGCCCATGGGAACTTGTCACAGCTCTGAATTGCTGCTAAGGAACATATCTGAATTGGTAACTGGGTTCAGCTGGGCCAACAACTGGTTCCTATTGACGTCCAGCACACTCCAAATCCTCCCAGTCCCAGCTGGCATTTATCAGCTGCAGTTTTGCTCCCCACAGAGCCACAACTTTTGGATTTTTGCTTCAAAGTGCACATTTCAAATTACAGAAGGCATCAGATAACCAAAGGCCTCTGCAGAGGCCTGGCTGTGCCACAGCAGAGCAGAGTTTGGACAGGCAGCAGGAACAACTCACCAGGACGCTCTGGAAAGCACCCCCTGACACAACTGATGAATTCTGGAGTTATGGGGCTAAAGGATGGGCTGGTTTAGGTTTTTTTCTATCTTGTAAATATCAGGGAGTTTTAAATGTGTCCAGTGAAGACACTGGAACTCTTTTTATCCTGTGAAGTTGCTGGATTTTATTGGAATACAGCTATATTTGGGAAAGGAGTGAGTAATAGATGTGTGCACATTCTTGCTTGCTCTGCAAAGACAATTATCAGATTACAAAAAAGGCACAAGAAGCACATTCCTCCTTCTTCCATCCCTAAAAGGTTCCTCCTTCCCCCCTGCTGAAAGCCTGTGCTGGCTGTCACTGAACAACCTCCAAGCACACATTTTCCTCTTTGATCCAGCTGGCTCGGAAGCCCCAAGGATTAAAGATTTCTCTTCTGTTTGAATAATTTCACTGACTAGAATCTCATTGCTTGTTTAACCAATTCTCTTCATCCTCCATCTATATATAGTAAAAGAAATGGAATTAATATTATATCTTGGTTTATTGCTAGAGGCAATCTGCTGTCCCCCAACTCAGGCTCCCAAATGAAGGAGGTAAAACAGAAAATCTGGCAGGACCTGCTTGCCTGAAACAAGAAAAAGGCAAAATTGCACTTGCCCCACCTGGCTGGGTGGAAACTGGGGCAAGGAAGGGCTCAGGGTTATTTCACAAGTCAGTGGAGAGCCAGGAATAAACAGCCCAGCCCTGGATCCTCTGTTCCAGTTGTCAAGAAACAATTTTGCTTTGCCCAGGAGGCGAGTTCTGTCAGAGGACAGGACATGCCACTTACAATTCAAGTCCTAATGCTGGATGTGCAGAGCAGGATAAAGGAATGTGACTCTTTGGTGAATAGCCTGGTTATCATACTAGAAATGTATTTTAATAAACTAAATTCACCCTTGCCTAGTCCCTAACACTGCAATAAATTTCTCCCCTGCCACTGCCTGGCTGATATTTAATGGTAAATATCCCACCAAACCTGTGTCTTCTCTGTGAAGGCTTAAAATCCTGAAATTCTTATTAAAAAAAAAAGAAAAAAGAAACAAACTGCTCTAAATATTATTCCAGGACTGAATGGCTTCAGTGGTGTGGATTCTATTTACAATTTTAAGGAACCTTCTGCTTCAGACCAGTCACCAGAACCTTGTCAGCAGCAGAAGGATGAGACAAAGGACGTGGGTGATGCAGGAAGGGGGAACAAGTGTGTTCCTTGTGTGAGCACGCAGTCATGGACAGCGTGTTCGCTCTGTTCCTGACAGCTCCTGGGGAGCCACGCTGGTGCAGAGATGCCAAGGCAGTTTGAGGTGCCTGTGGATGGATCACATCACCGTGCAGTGCCCTGAGACACCCACACAGCCGGGCAGAACCTGCCTCTGGCAGCTCCAGCTCACACACCCAGGGCTCCCCAGGGCTCCCCAGGGCTCCACACACAGGATTCAGACTGGCAGCTGCAGATGAGGGGCTGCAAGGGCTGCCTGGGCTGAGGAGGTTCTGGAGCAGCCACCAGAGTGGCCAGGGAGCCACGAGCTGGTGCTGCCAGCAGTAAGTGGGAACACCAAACAGAGCCCGCCCAGCAGGACTCTCTGCATCTGCCAGGGCTTCCAGGAGGAGACAAGAGCTTGGGAAGTACCCATGTGGAAACCCCCAGCCATCCAGCCAGGATGTCCATGGGGATGCTCCTCAAACTGGCTCTGCTGGAGCAGGAACCAGCCGTGCTCCCAGCACAGGCTGCACGTGCAGCAACGCAGCCCCAGGCTCCTTTCTCCACACACAGCAGCTCTCTCTCTTTTGGGAAATAACTGTTCCCCAATTTTGCTGTTTAAATCCTGACTCCTCTCCAATCTCATCCCCCTGTGTGCTGTGCCTGCCCCCTCCATCTCAGCAGAGGAGCTGCTGCCTGGCCCTCCATCTCTGGCAGAACACCTCAGGGGGAGAAGGCCAAAGCACTTCACATCCATCAGTTTGGATGGTTCAAGAGAAAAGCCATTTGTTTCTAGGCAATCTGTTTACACACACACTGCTGGCTTTCCAGCTCCTGTTCCTAGGACTTGGCTGACAGTGGAGAGGTCAAGAACAAACACACACCAATCCCCAAGTGCTCCTGGTTGTGCCATTTTGCCAGAAGATGTTCCTGGCCCAGAAGCAGCTGCACAAAAAGCACTGATGGGAGAATTACAGCTAAAATACATCTCTTTGTCTCAGCAGCAGATGCCCTTATGGGATCTTTGCCTGCCCAAAGCCACCTGCACTGCCCCTGCCTCCTGACAGGGAATGACAGGAATGAGGACATTGTGCAAGCCATCCCTGATGGAAACCCTCTGCCCATGCTCCCTTCCTGCCGGGGTGCAAGCAGCCCAGTAGCCAAGGGTACCACAACAGCCAGGATCAGCAGGAAAAAGTGGAATTTCACAATCAGTCCTGAAAAGGTCAGCTCCTGAGTCACAGCAGTGAAGGATATGGGGGAGTTGTTTTGAAGTACATCTTTTTCCTCTCTCTTTTATTACACAGAACACATTAGTCTCGCTCGTGATCAGTCAGTCTTCAGGCACTATCACTAGACACAAAGCCGGTTTTACTCAAAACTTTCTTCTTGCTCCTGCAGCTCCACCACTGCTACCCTGGATTCCCCTTAGAACTGGAGGTTTCTTCTCGATCTCAAAAAGAGATTGATATATCAAAACCAAATTCAATTACAAAATATAATAATATCGTCTTCTTGGAAGTGAAGCTGCCCCATATTCCAGACTGTGGCAGGATTTTTATAACCTTAAACCATTTTTACTAAGTTCTACTTAAAATACATCCGAGTCCCCATCCACCTGTCTGGTGTGTTGCAATGCTCACAGCTGAAGATCCATTCCCGGTTAATTCCTGCTGGCTCTGCCAAAGGCCTCCTCTCAGTTGTCTTCTGCAGACTTGAACATGAGGATGGCATTGTAGATCTTGAGGGCAGGGCCCAGCTTGATGCTGAGGATTTTAACAATGTCGTTCTGCTTGAGGAGCAGGAAGGCCTCTCCATCAATCTGCTGGAGGTTGGAACACGAACAGGGCGGGGATTAAGCACCAAGAGACAGGCAGCATTCCCACTCCTGGTCATTCTGGGATTCCTGCCTAGTTCTGGCCCCTACACTCCGTGATGTCCCCTTCCCAAGGGACACAGAGCTCGTCTCACAGCGCTTTCCCTAGGAATGGAGAAGCTCCAGGTGTCCTGCCCATGGCAGAGGTAGAATGAGATGAGCTTTAAGGGCCTTTCAACTCAAACCATTCCATGGTTCCAGATGTTAGATAGACTAAGGCATAGTGAAGATGCAATATGGCTGGAAAAACACAGTCTCCTAATCCATCAACAAGGAGATATATTTGATTAGATGCAAATTAAGCAAGTGATGAACATACTACCGTGTGCAAATCCAGAATGCTGTAGGTAGCAGGGAGTGAAATCATGACACCCTCTTTCTGGAAAAGGTTAAAAATTCACTCCAGCAAGAACATCCACAGAGACAACACAGATATAATTATTATAAACCCCAAATGCTGCAGGGATGAAGCCAAAGATTAATGGACAAAGACAAACAATATGTGTCTCCCTAAGTTATTCCATTAAAGTCCATTTACAGAGACTGACAGTGTCTCCTCCTCTTATTTGATGCTCACCAGTGCAGCACACAGCACTGGACACTCAGCCCAACCAGAATAACAATTCTGCTATTTTTGTACTCTTCCCAACTAGAATACATTCAGATGTCAATGCCTGGTGCAAGAGGAAACACTGAGTAAACTCAGAGAACACAGAATTAAAGCCAAGAGCTGGGAGCCAGGAGATTTGGTTTTCCCCCATCTCACCAGACAAGAGACCCTTGTCAAGTTACTCAACCTGCCACTTTAGTAACTGGGAGTAACTGGGAAGTTAATTCCTCCACTGGGAACGACAGCAGTGCTCCAGTTCACATATGGCCACACCATATCCCTGAATCTTATTTTCAAGCTGCCTCAAGTCTACACTGCTGCAATGAATGTATTAAAAATAGCTTGAAACAAATGGGACTGTGCTGTTTAAATTAAATAACAGAGTCAAGAGGAGCAGAAAACTGCTGGAAAACAGTCCTGCATTTCAAAATGGTTTTGTGTCCAGTATTATTTATCCCTCTGCTTCATTTTCACTGCATTGCCTCACGCTTATTTTAAACCGTCCTGCCCTCAACTGGACCTAGAAGCAAGTCTGTGCTTTATTATTAATTTCTTTGTTCCATCTTATTTGGATGGGTTTTAGAATCCTGTGCACAATTTGTTCTCTTTGCTCCTAATGTAAGCAGCAACTTATCCCCCTCCAGCCCCCCACCAAGGGAAGTCTGCAAGAGATTTATTTATCCTGGACAGGGAGCACTTGGAGGCTGATCCTGGACAGTGTGGGGGAGTTCAGCTCTCCTGTCACTCACACCTGTATTCTGGCCAAAGCCAAACTACTAAAAGGGTTTTAATTTCAAACTGACACTGAGGATTGAGCATAAACTGGAAAAACAACACAAGTCCCTCTAAGTGTGGTGCAGGAAATCACACTTTGAGGCTGCAGAAAATAAGGATTAGAACAGACTGTGGCTATGGCACTCTCAGAATAAGAAAGCAGTCGCTGTGTTCAGGACCAGAAGAAATAAAATACATGGAGAATGGTTGGATTTATTAGGAGATTTGCTGATACCTCTCACCTTTGAATACACCTTCCCTAGAATTCCCTTTTACACTCAGCTACAGTGAAAAATGGGTTCATTTGAACAAATTTCACTATTCCCACTATATTCAGTTTGTGAGTGTTCTACTGTATTGTCACATTGTGGACAGCACTTTTTGCAAGCCTCTATTTCTCTTGCTTCCTATTTTGTGTGTGTCTGCAGAGTTTTTAGAACAAGGGAAAACAAAACACAGATACATAAACCCATGAAATGCTCTGCAGATTCCCCCTGAAAGGGAGCCAGCTCTGTAGCAGCCAGTGATTACAGACCTGCCCTTTCCACTCACTGCCACAGCGACTGCAGTGACTCCAGCCCTTCCCTGGAGCTCTCACAGCCACACAGGAGAGCTGCAGGGACAGAATCACAGAACCAGTGACTCCAGCCCTTCCCTGGAGCTCTCACAGCCACACAGGAGAGCTGCAGGGACAGAATCACAGAACCATGGGATGGTTTCACTTGGAAGGAATCTTAAAGCTCATCTTGTTCCACCTAACACAGGACACGCTCTGACTTCCCAACCTCTGCTTTTTGAAAAGCAAGGTTCCCCTCCTGCTGTCACCCCAGCCCAAGGGATGATTCCCACTTGATTCCTGGGAAACCCTGTGCCTTCCAGGCTCCCCAAGAGGAGCAGGCACGTGGCCTCGTTAGAGGCAGCAGATGAGATCCTCACTAACCATTCCAACAGGGCAACTTCAGAGCAGTGCCAAGCCCATGGCACAACGGTCCAAGACAGGATGTTAAGCATAAGCTCCGTGATTGGAGCTGCAGGGGAAATTTAAAGCAGCAGGATGCAATTAGCCATGGTGGAACTCAGCTCCATGCTGAGGCTGCCTCCTAAATGCTGTTGTGAGGACATGGCTGAGGAGGTCTGAGCTCTCTGCTGTAATTCCAGGGTCTGGGCACACCCCCCTTACCTCTTCCCTGAACACAGATGCTTGTTCTTTGCAGCCAGGTAAACGCTGGATAAAGCTCACCACCTTCAATTGCATGTAAGAGAAAGAAACACAGACAATTAAAATGAGACACCATCAAGAAAAATCCTCTTACTTCTGTATGAGACTTCTCTATGCAAGAGTTTTTAAAACTTTAATACTCAAAGCTCTCACATTAATGAAGGATATAGATGGAAAGCATTGCTGGGTTGTTGCTGAAACTCCTTTGCCTATTTTGGTTACCACCAATAACTGCCCTTATTGCCATTTGACCATTTCTCTCCCTGTAAGAATCCAGCTTCTCCACCCCTCTAAAAGCTCCTCAGAGCATCAACGTTATTTTTCCAGATTAAAAGCTGCATATGGCTTAGACTACTTTAAATTCACTCACAACTTCACTTTCTTTACAGTACTGTTGGAAAGTAAAACAAGAGGAAAGTATTTAGACAATTTCCCAAGATTACATGCCTGTAAGAGACAAGATAAACCAACTGAATGAGCACTGCTGCTTTACCAACATGCAAAGGCAGAAGAGCTGGGAAGGAAAGGAGTTTTGGTTTCATTTAATCTGCACTGGGTGCACAGGATCCATGGAATCAAGAGGATTAAACAAGTAAAAGTTAATTTTACATTTCACATTAGGGAAAACCTTTCTAAGCAAGGAATCTGTTAACATTTGGAATAATCTCCCTGGAGGCATGCAAGCAGCCCTGGGTTGCATTACATAACAGCAAGGAGTGTGAGGAGCAGTCCTGTGTGCAGTCGAGGATGGCTTGATGTGCATTGTCTTCTCCAGCTGCAGCTTCACTGGTTCACAGGAGATTTGTATATTGAGGCACAATCAGATCAAACATCTCCTGTTAATTGGATGCTCCCTTGCAGGAGCAGCTCTGCTTCATGAGGCATAACCATGTGAGTTGTTGCAGATGTGACATTTCTTCCCTGTACACAAACAAGCAGTTGGGAGGGGTCACTGTCAGATCCAGGCTCCTTTCAACTCGGAATTGTCAAACTCTGTCCTAAATCACGTCCCTGTACTTCCAGATTATCCCACCACTAGACCTGGAGTCATTCCCTCCCCCCAGTTCTAGCCAGGCAGGAATGGGGCTCTCAGAGTGCCCTCCAGGTTTGTTCTGCCCTGGCAGGAGCAGCTCTGACTCCTGTGGTTTCTGTTATGTAACCTGAAAGCACAGTCTCCCTCTCCTTCATCCTCCTCTTCTGCTCCATCTTAAAGGGAACTCCTGAAATCCACATCTCTGTTGGGCAGTGACTCCAAATTTTCTTCTGCAGAAGTGTAAACTCCTATTAGTAACCAATAACAAAATACTACTTTCCTTTTGAGTCCCCCCCATCTGCTAATAATTAAAACACAAATGAAAATCCTTCTGCCAGGCCCGGCTCCTTCCAGAATTTAAAAGACAGTTGGACCCCTGGGGCAAGAGCTGAGTGCTCTTTAGTGTCTGTGGCACTGAGGCTGGCAGACACCTCCAGGGAATGACCTGGGCTTGCCCTGCTCCTGTAGCCTTCCCTGCACAACTGCTGCTGGCCACTGTCACCAACACAGAGTGAGAGACCTCTGATCTGCCCCACAGTCCTTTGTAGGAACACAAACAGCAGCCCTGGGGTTTACCAGGAACGGGGAACAGAGAGGGAAGGAAGATGCAAGAGGAGGAAATGGGAGAGAAGGTCCTCAGGACACGAGACAGACCCTGGGTACCACTGACCACAGGGACCTGCCTGGCTGTCACTGCTGGGGAGGAGGGTTCCCAAACCAAGATGGGACAGCTGAGGGATGAGGAAGGCTTGGGAGCACAAGAACAAAACACCACAGGAAACTAACACAACCCCACAGTGGTGGCAGGGAAGCCTTGGGCCCTGGGAAAGGCTGAGACTGGAATGGCTCAAAGTGTGGATGGGACAGGTGTTGGACAGGCTGGCAATATCTCAGTGGGATCAGAGCTTCTCTATGAGGAGGTAAAAGTCTGCTGGCCCTTCCTGCTGTAACCATCCATGGCTCAGACCCGTCTGCTTACACTCCCAAAGCAGACACTGGTGAAGGGAAAGGGCTTGAAAAGGGGCTTTTCCTGAGAACACCCTGGAAACTGGATGCAACCCCTCTGGAAGGTGCTGCTGTGAGGCAGACACACTGAGATCAGCACAGGACTGATGGCCTGTGGTGACAAAGCAGCCCCACACCACAACCCTTCAACAGCTGCTGCAGGACTGACCCCTCTGGGGCCACAGAGAGGAGCTGGGTTAACTGGGATTTACAAACCCACTCACACTCAGCACAAGGACAGTCCTCTTCCCTCCACCCTGGTATCAGCATTTGAAGCAGGATTAACTAATGAACAGTACATCTGTAATGTTCTTCTATGAGTCAATATGCTCTGAAAACATGACAGGAAGCTTTCAATAAATACCTAAGCTGCATTAAAGTAACTACACTTAGTGACTGCTCAGTGTTACCAGACTCTCTTAGCTTGAGGGCCCCTAAATACTGCTGCTGCTCTGCCATTTCAGCTGTTCTCATCCAGCAGAGAATTACAGCAATGTTTTAGTCCTGAATGTGGGTTTTATAAAATAAAAACCAGCTCTTCAGCCTGAAACCAAAGGAGAATTTTACACTCCCATCACTCCTGTTTCACATCAGCAGAATGGACTCCTTTGTGCAGCAGAGTTCAAAGCACAACCCAAAGGCAAATGGGAAGATGTTTGCCCTGCAGGAGGATGTTGGGAGCCCAAATGCTGACAGGCCAAATACACTTTGGGCTCCCTAAAACACAGCAAGTCCTGCTGCTTTCAGCTCCCAGACCTGAGGCTACATTGCACTGCACACGCTGATCCTCAGAGAGAGCACAAACTGACTCCTCTGGGAATTTGTGATGAACATCATTTGCAAAACCGGACGCACTTTGCTGAAATTCAAGATAAAACCTGTAATGACTTCAGCCAGTCCATTGTTGTGCTGCAACTGAGCTTTTTAATGTGCCATTCACCAGCAGCCAGAAGTTCCCCAGTTGTTTCAGGCTGCAGCAGAGTTCAGTTTATTCTGGGATTGAATCACTATATCCAGTGCCCTGCATCCATGTCTGTGGTCCCTGCTCACACTCATCCGTCATCAAACTAATATCCCAGTTAAATCTATCCAGCACTTGCTTTAAAGGTCAGCTGCAAAGGACAAATTTTATTTGGCTTGGATCCTGACACTGTACTTCCATGAAGCATCCTCCTGTTTTATCCAAAAGAAAGAGATTTTGATTATCATGTCAGAGGATTATCTGCTTCTGACTTTATTGATTTGCTAAAAGACCTTTTGGACTAATCATTGGAAGCTTTCTCAAAAGGACAGGAACAGTAAATCTTTCACATATTTTTTTCCTCCTTGGTATAAATTTAATTCTAACACATTTTTCTGAAAAGGGAAAAAAAAAAACCCCACAACCAAAACCCAACACTACCACCAAACCACGACAACTCAACAAAAAAAAGGACCCAGTTTTAAAACATCACCACTAATTGTTCCATCCCTTTCCCAACAGCTGTGGTTCCCATCTCCCAGATCACTGTAATCCCACCAGACTCTAGCACTCCCACTCCTCCAGCATGAAGAGAACGTCAAGATTGGATTTATCTGATGTTAAGAGGCACTTACGGAAAATGCACTTTCTAAAAGTCTCTGAAGATCCTCTCTGCATCATGAACAGCAGTACTTTTTTCCTGCTTTGCAGATTCCCTGCATCCCTGCAAGCACAACACTACAGCACATTTTTCTGGGATTAAATGCCCTGCAATTAAGCACCAGGATCCAAACTGTCACCACTTCCCAAGTGCAGAGAGAAATATTATTTGTGCCCAAGGCATTGAGGCAAAAACCAACTACTCAGCACACAAAACACTCTGGCTTTTTCACACACCACCTAATTACAGGAGACATCTCAAAAGCTGCAGAGACACATCTCCAGCTGCACAGCTACCTCTGCCAGAAATCAGGTCAGGCTGTGGGCAGTTTTGTTCCCAAGGAATCAGGCAGGGAGAGGCAGCAGGAGTGGGCATGCACAGTGCAGTTTGGAATTCTCTGTACTGTAAAAGTGAATCAGCAGCAAAGTCACAGGAGAGGGGGAGGGAGATCAGAGAAAGGGAATCTGCTGTCAGAATGATGTTTCAGGCCTGTGGACTGAGAGATTGAGGGGAAAATAAACAGAGAGAGGGAGGGAATCCTGTTGAGGGCAATAAGCTGTGGACACCAGAGGGTCAACAGGGGTCCTTCCCCTCCCTGATAAAAGGTCTTGGGTCTAACTTCCAGCTGAGTCAGCTGTGGTGCACGCACAGCAAACACAAGCACTGCCTAGGAGAGGGAAGGAAGAAAAGATGTCTCCCAGTTAGCACTCAGAGGAGGAGTGCTCTGACATCCCTGCAGCCCTGGAGAGCAGAGCAGGGAACAGGTAACTCACCTCCTCCACAGTCCATTTGGCCACTTGTTTGGCTGTCAGGCCCGAGACCTCCGGCAGGAGCCTGCAGTGCTGCTCCCAGAAGAGATGCAGGCGGTGGGTCGGGTTAGAGGCCAGGGAAGGCATGAAGATAGACTGGTGGAGGGCCTGCTGGAGATCCAAATCAGGGTCTGGAAAAGGAAACAAGACAAGACAGAGCCAGGCTTCAAGTAGGAGCAACTACAAGAAAGCAGAAGGAAGGGTCACAGCCTGGAGTTCAGCAAGACAGGGTAAGCAGAGCCAGGCAGAGCTACTGTGTGGCACACGGAGCTCTCAGGGCGTTCTCCCCACCCTCCCGAGCAGGAGAAAGGGAAAAAAAAGATAAGATTGCCAGGCTGGAGGCTTTATCGTTAGCTTCTTCCCTGGAAAATGATGTCATGCTGCTAACAGAGAAGATGTTTGCAGCATTTTATTGACAAGGTGGAGGAGTTCTGGTAACAGCATCCTCGGCTGGGAACTGATGGCACCGTTCCAGCCCCAGCTGTAGCCAGAGCTCTGTGCTGCCAGCACAGCCTGGACTCGCTCCCCAGGAGACTCCCAGGCCAGGAGAGCTCAAGGTACCTCCAGACATCAACTCCCTCCTCATGTGTCAAGTGACGGAAGCTTTGAAAACCGAGGCAAAAAAGGAGGCAGAAATCACCCCTCCCTGATGAGCTCACTGGAGCAGTGCAGAGTCATGGTCCTACAGGGACGTGCTGCTCATACAAGAGGCCAGGCAGAGGATGGGAGCAGGCTGGGGAGCACTCCTCTGGTTTACAGTGCCACGGGGGGCTGCCCCTGAGCCCCGGCCCTGCAGGCTGCCCAGTGCCATTCCCACAGCATTCCCACTTAATCCCAGCCCTTGGGAAAGCTCTGTGTGCCTGGAGCAGCCGCTGCTCTGCTGCTCCTGCTGCTCCTGCTCAGCAGCTCTCAGTGGGCTGGGGTGGAAGATGCAGGGGTGAGCAGTCACCATGTGGAAAGCACAAAGGAAAACAGCCGAAATACAAAGAAAAAACAGATTCCCAGAGTTTGCCAGCTTCCCCCCAGCCAAAGGGGAAGCAGCTCTGGGGGTAAAACCTGACCTAGTGAACAGCCACTCCCCTGGCCCCAGAGCCCCCTCAGCTCAGCTCATCTCATCTCCACATCCCTAAAGCTCATGAAACAGCATCAAATAACATCAAATTTCTAATAATGAAACCAAGGCAGGATAAATAAAGCCTGGGGAGGATAAAAAAAGCCTGAGTAAGAACTGCTCAGTTCAGGAGTTCCTGGTGCTGAGAGGGCACAGGACCTGCTCCTGAGAGGGCAATCATCCCCTCCTTCCCTGCTGCACCGCTGCAGGGGTGAGGACAGACAGCAGCTGGTCTTGTCCCCACCTCCTGCTCCAGGAGGTCCCACTCGTGCCCAAGGTCTCCCCCACTGCCACATCCCTGCTGGCTGGGCACTGCTTCCATCTCAGACCAATTCCTTTTCTCCACTAAGCCCAAATCCCTGCTGGACTAAGCACCCAAAACATGACCTAGACAAGTGACTTTCCCTCTGACGAAGAAGCAGTGATCTCATAGTTTAAACACAGCTGGGAGGAAAGCTCTGGGTAATTGTGAAATTGCAGGTCAGTGGATAATTGCATTTCCCTCCCCTGATTTCCATCACTCATGGAAGGTGAATGTGAAGGGAGAGTGGGCAGCTTTCCCTGCCAGCTGCAACTGCAGCATGGAGCTGGCAGATCCTCAGCTCTGACTGCAGAACTCAGCACTAGGTAAAAATGAGTATTAAAAAAAAATAAAATAAAAATCCAGGCACCTGTCCCAGTTTGTGTCTGCTTAGCTATTTTTGATTGGAGACTTATTACCATGTTAAATCCTCCTAAAAGCCTGGTCAGCTCCGTTCTCTGAAATGGCTTTTTATAGTAAATCTGAAAGTTAAGCATATGGTTTGCTAAAGTGATAGCAGAAAGCTGCTCTGAAAACTTAACCTGTCATGTACCAGGAAAAATCCCCACTGTTCCTCCTTTTCTTTTTCATCCTTAAGAGAGCCTTTAAAAAGTCCTCCAATGATTCAGAATATGTTTCTGAATACCCACGAGGGTCTAAAAAAAGGGGTTGATGGAACCTAAACTACCTGCTAAGTTTTGAGCAAGTGTCCCTTGAGCCCAGTGCTGGCTCTGTCAGAGCCTGACACTGGTCACAGACTGTTTGGGAACCCCCTGCCACCAGACAGGAGTTTGCAGTGGCACAAAAACCAGTGCAAACTTGCCTTCTCACTTAATAAATACAAGACTCCACTCTACAGATTATTAAAACTTTCACTTCTAAGTAATTTCACCCTTTCTTCTCATTTTAAAGGAAGAAAAACTACCACTGCCATCATCTCCAGGATGTGCTTTCTCTTGACAGTGGAATCAAAGACAAAAAAAGCTGTGAAGTTTGGAATGCTCCTCGTGACTGTGGGGATACTGCAGAGATAGGCACACACAGAGAAAGAAAGAATAGAATTTAACCAACCTTTCCCATTGTTTTCCTGTTTCACCAGCTGAAACTTGATATAGGCATGTGAGCACCCAAGCCTGAAAGCAACAATTACAAAACATTTCAGAAGATACAAAAATGGATTTAATTTCTTCTCTATACAAAGATTAATGGGATTTATAGAAATTAAACATTTTTTTCCTCTTAAAATAAGCAATATATGCATCCCTGACCTCTCTCTGAGTTAAGGGCTGTTCTATTAAATGAATGGCCAGAACTCAGATCTGAGTTTACTACAGGAAAGAGAGAGCCCAAAACAACAGGAGGAAGGGAGGAGACTTACCATGCCATGCTAAAACACTCTGCTGCAAAACCCTGATCAAACGGGGCAGTTTTTTTCAGGTACACCTTTATTTCAGGTACAGCAGCAGCATCAAGAAACACAACTGTTAATGCATGAAAATACATCACAAAACTTTTGTTTACATTTTTGGTGTGGCTTTGATGTCTGCAGAGGAATCCTCCTCTCCCCAGCCTCTCTCCTGACTGTTTTCTGATTGCTCTGATGGAGTGTGGATGCTGCTTTGACACCACTTTTCGCTGTCTGGTGCAGATTTTCTGAAAAGACAGATAAATGACAGTAGCTGAGCTGACATCCTCTGTTCCCTTTTCCCACAGGAGAGCAAAGCTGACTGCTCCTGGCAAGTGAGAGCAACAACCACCACCTTGTGGCAGAACTTTCCTCTCCCTTCCATGAGTAGAAAGTGCTTTGTTCCTCCTCTTGTGCAAGGATTGAGAGAGTTTATGTAAAATAAATTTGCCTCTGTGGACTCAGCCTCTGACGCCAGCAGATACAAGAAACCACTGTGTAATGACGAAAGCAAGAGATTTAAGATTTCTGAATCTTGATACCTCTGAATAACATTCAAGAGTTTCCTGACTAAGTTTGATGCATCAGCTGAGTTACAGAGTTGTCCAAGGGAGGACAAACAGCACCAGATTTACAGGCTGAATTCAGACCTCCCACTATCAGGAAATTAAATACTTGGAAGAAAAGAAATATATTACAATTCTAAAATGTCATATATTCTGTGAGAATTCAAAATCTCCCAAGGGAGCTTTATGGCAGCAGTGCCACTGAAATGCAATCAGTTTTGGTGTGGAAATTAGGGAATGAAGATGCCTGCATTGTTGTGGCATGGGAGGAAGCAGTTTGGCCATGAAGGCCAGGGAGGAGAAAGAAGCGTTCATTCATTTTTCCTGGACAAATAGATCTTGAAAATGTTATAAATCTGAACAAACATATGAACTTGAAAATATAGATAAGCCTTCACATATAACAAAAAACTGAAGTATTGCTGGAGTTTGCCCTAGTGAGGCTGGATTTGTGAAGACTAAAAACCATCTTAAAAAAATCCTTCATATCCTGGTCTGTCCCATGACAGGCTTAACCAACTCCTGCACTCCAAGAACTAAGGCACAGTTTCCTTCAATGCTGCTCAGCTGCAAGATTTTCTGGTAAGAAAATGAAGTATCTAAGAGTGCTCAGCTTGCTTGCTGCTAAGTGATACACACAGTGCTCAGCCGACTGGGATGGATCACAGTTACAGTTTAATGGTGCAAAATAACCTTGGCTTGACAGTTTTAGCACAGGAAACGAAGGAAAAGAACATATTTCAAATTGAAACAGCAAGGAAAAATTTATGGAGACAGAATGCAATTTCCTTTGTTGGAATGTGACCAGAGCACCAGGATTAAGGAATCAAGGAACCTATTAAGGCATGTGAGGGTATAAAAGTAGACTGCTCTGTGTAAAGAGTGTCTGGGGCACAGGCCAATATTACAGACAGATGAACTCAATGCTCTGCTGCGTCACTGCCACTTCCGGTGGTTTTCACCCTTGTAAATGGTTTTCCCCCCCAGTACCTGGCCAAGAGTAAAATCCAGCTCACCTGGATTGTGAAGAGCCACTCTGAGAAGACTCCACTGCTCCCAGCAATGGGCCAGGGGTGTCCAGCCTCCTGGCTTTCTGCATGCTGTTCCCAGGGGAAGGTCTCTCCCCACCCAGCCGGTCCTGTAACAGGTTTTCTCTGCTGAGGTTCACATCAGAGTATGGGCAGCCAACTAAGCTGTGACAGGAACAAAAGAGAGAGAGGGCAATGAAAGCTTTACAGTCATACAGTCTTCCCTACCTCAGGCAGAGAAATCCATCACAAACCCAGAAAAAAAGGGGCCACACACTCTCAGGAGGTGCTGTTACCCAGCTCTAAATGTGAGAAAGCAGAGGACTATATGGCAGGATTAAAAACCAAAGTCATGTTGTTAAAGAGCCACCACAGAGGACAAGAAGGGTTCATCCTCTGTAACCTGCTTATCAGAACAGCATTTCATGAATCAACAGAGTTCTGCAACTTTCAGTCTGAAAAATTCAAAGCACTTTACTACATTATAAACTACCAGGTCTTCTGACCTCCCACCTGAGATTGTTTTCTCGCTCTTAAAATAATTTACTTGAGAAAAAGCTTCCTCTTCCAAGAGCAGGAAATCAAAAGGCAGAGCACAAAACATGAGCAACCTCTCCTCACTGATACTTTAACATCCTATCCATGCCCTCTCCTCTTTAACTGTCTACTTGCATGTTGTTCTTTGGTATATTATTTCACAAACAGAACTCCTTCAGTACTGCTGGAATGTAGAAACAGGAGTGAATGAATCTGTTTGCATTGCAGCCATCATGATTATAGTGGTATAAAAAGAATTTATGATCAAACAGCCTGCTTAGACACAAGAGGGAGCTGCGACTGCAGTTATAGCTGTCTCCAGAATAACCACCCTGAGATCATTTCAGTGCAGTGCAACTGCTTAGTGCATTATTATTATTATTATTATTATTATTATTGTTGTTGTTGTTGTTGTTGTTGTTGTTGTTGTTGTTGCTGTTGATATTGTTATTAACAGCACTCATCCACATACGTGTAATGTGTTCCATAGCGGGGGCCCCGGACGTGCCCGATCCCCTGGCACCCCGGAGTAGGACACGCCTGTCCCACTGCTCCCTCTGGATCTTCAGCACCTGAGAGCAGTAAAAAATGGAAGATGAACAGATTTGCACGTGAGGAGCAGACTGCACTTAGGAAATTACCCATGTAACAGCAGCATGTCCTGTATTTACCTAGAGGGACCTGCAGAGCATGTCCAGTTTTGTCACACCAGCCCACAGGATGGATGTCAGGGCTGTCTGCATCCACCCAGAAATCGTAGTGATGGTCCCAGCCATCAAAATGGATCTGAAAGAAGCAGAAGTGTCAGGGAAAGACACAATTCAGGGCATGACTCAGCTTTTACGTTAACTTCCCCCTTTGTTTCACCTTGCTCAGCTTGGGGCTGATTCATTCACTCTTTCAGATCAATCTTTCAGTCAGGCACAATCATCTCTGTGCTCAGTTTAACTCTTTCTTTTCCTGCATCTGTGTTTCACAGAATAACCAGGTTCTGAAGATGCAGTCTGTCACCCCGCAGCCCGTGGGGTGCTCTAACACACAAAGTCCAAAGTTATGCAAATACAAATGCTTATTTGTTTTGTTTTCTGTGGATCCCAAAACACTGTAAAAGCCAACAAGTTTGGTGAGTTTTGCAGTGAACAAGCTGCAGTTTTCTGCTGGATGAAGAGACTGGTGTTAGCTCAGATCAGGTCACGTTAACAGAGACTGAGGAGCACTGGAGTTTAAAGGCTACTGGGTTGTCCACACAGCAAAGTTTCAATGTACAAACTGAGTATCATGCCACTACAGACTGGCAAAGCTTGGCTTTTGTTCACAGCAATGAGACCCAGAATCAGCCAGATAATGGGGAGTGAACTCCACTCCTGCCAATGTAATCATCCTTCGGGAAGGAGACCTGTGGCCACGGAGTCTCCATCAGTGCAGCCTCCACTTTAACTGGCTCATACTTAGTTCCTCAGAAGCCAAAGCACAATAGATTATTTGGACAACGTATTTGCGTGAAAAGACTGGGTTAAAATGCATTTATGTGACGAATTTGTACTGGAGAATGACACTGCTTCCCACATGTATCAGGGTTTAAATTGCTTTGGGTTTTCCTTTCCAGTCAGGCAGCTTCCCCAGCAGAACACTCCTGCTGCCACCAGTCACGGAGATCACACGGAAAATGCCAAGAGATGGGACATCACACTGTCAAGTGTTGGTTTAAAACAGTTACATTAGAACAGTAACTAACAACACTAACAACTAACAACAACCAGGCCAATTTCAGATTTCAGCAAAACAAAGCAACAGGAACCATTTCCAGCTGGGCAGGCCCGGAGGCCTCAGCAGCTGCTGCTGTTTGCTGCTCCTCGTTCTGAAGGGATGTTCCCCCTGTGCTGCCCATCCCAGGGTCCTCAGCACAGGCTCTGCTCCTGGGACCGAGGTCATACCTTAACACGGTGGTTGTCTTTGTCAACGATTGTTGCCACTCTTATCAAGATGGGATTTCGTCTGTCCACAGCCTCTAACTTCGTATTAACCTGGAATCCATGAGGAGGACGCTGGAAGAGAGGATTGTAAACAGAATGCTAACAAGCCTTGGAGTTCAGAGCTGGCACCTCCTCTGAATGAAATGTGCTCCAGTTTCCATCCACCCCTAGCTGCCTTTGGAGCTTTGAGTTATCCCACACGGCAGACTGTTCAGAGGCTAAAATCAGAGTTCCCAAGAGGTTAAAATGAGAGTTCCCAAGAGGACTGAGCCTCTCTTCCAACCTGACTATTCAGGTTAATGAAATTATTAAAATCATTCTTCCCTCCCAGTCTTCCTTACCCTTTTTACTGCCAATGGCTGGGGCAGGAAGGAGATGCACTCCTGAGCTAAGGGGTTTAACTCCACACCTGAAGTTCCTCTTTGATCATTTCACAGGGACACAGACATCTATCAGTGGGCTGTCAGACACTGGACACACCACAGAACAGAGAATCTAAACTGCTTTTATTTTCAAGAGTATCTTACTGAACCAGCCAACCTTGTCTGTGCTCCCTGAAGCTTGAGCTGAGTGCTCAAGGTCCAAATCCTGCCCAGAAGAGGAGCCAGGCTCTTTGTTTAAGCCTTTCTGAAGGGTTGCTGCCCTTCTGGCAATAGTTTATGAATGTTTTGGAATTGCAAGCCCAAGAGGATGGACTGAAATAACAATGCTTATATTGGAGCTGTCTCCTGAGTTTTTGGGTGGAGAGGGCAGAAATCCAGACCCAAGATCTGCTACTTGTACTGATGACCTGTGTCTCCAGACTACATAAGACAGCTCTTTAAAATTGTTAAAAGCTAATTCAGTGAGAAATGCCTGTTCTGGCTCTCAACCCGCATTTTTATGTACTGATTTCCTGTAATTGCTAGCTGGAATAATAATAATAATTTTTAAAAAATCAATAGCTTTGCCATTTATTTGCGCTTCAGTCCAACCAAGCCAGAAAAATAAAGAGGTTTGATCTTGAAATAGTTCTATTAACTGCTGATATATCAAATACCTTTTCTTTTCTGTCTCATTTTTGAAACACAGTTTTAGATGCTAATTTGCACTCAGGAGTTTCATGAGAGCCAGATTTGGTCCTTCTACTCTTCTCTCAAAGCCTGATACCTGCAGGAGCAGAACAATGGCTGCAGAAATGCCTGGAAAACAGGAAAGGAGGCAGACAAGGCAGCTGCATCCTCCTTGGGAAGACACTTCACTTTGGAGGAATCCAAAGAAGGGAGTTCTCAGTACTGAACAGGCTGCCTGTCCTGAGCAAAGCCCTCTTATGGTCAGATGATATTTCTCACCACACTTTAGACCCTGAAAATCTACAGGAAGAAGCTACAATGGCAGATCTTACAGAGGACTTGGGCTGGGAGCTTTAAGTTCACATTTTCCAGCTCTATTGGGATTTTAGGAGTGTGGCTGAAAAAAGCTTAGTCCACCCTTCAGGACAATTGCTGTTCACAACAACAGCTCACAATCACAAGGCTGAGAGAAGCACCTTCACACTGAGACTGAAAGATTGTCTTAGAGCACCCAGGGGCTTGGCAGAGATGCTCCTTCATCTGTTAATACATTTATTTCTGTGGAGGGCGCAGCTGGCCCCTCCCCAGGAGGACTAAGATCTCTATCAGCACATGTAAACCCTTGATATGAACTTCCCTACTTTAATTCCAGCCTCACCAGCCAGGGAAGTATGGATTTGCACAACTGCAAGGTGAATTTTAGAAAGGTTTTTAAAACTTCATGTAGAGGGGACACCAGGTAACTGCACTCCTCCTCCTCCTCTCTGTGAGGCTCTTCCCACCTACTCTGGAAGTCAGAGTTACCTGTGTGGACTGAAGGCTCTGCCTTTAAACCTGCTAATGGAGCCACTCAAGATATTTAGTCAAAAATCCTTTCCAAGCCAGCTTTCCATAGTATTGAAAAAATAGATCTTGCATTTTGCAGTGTGTTTTTGTTTTAGCAGTACTGAGACGATCTTAAAGTAAACCACAGTTTCACCCTCCTGGCACAGACAAGGTGAACCATGCTCAAATAAAGTCTCTAGCATAAAAAGGGTGGATAACAGCACCTGAGCAAGAACAATCAGAGATTCACCCACCAGTTTAAATGCTCTTGCTGGGGCTGCTTGGGAATTAGTTTCTTCCAGGTATTTCTCCCATGAGAAGGCTTTGGAATCCCTGTATCCTGGAAAAACAGAGAATTAACATTTCTGAAAGAATAACCCCACATTTACTGTTACAAACAGCAAAAAGGCAGGTCTGTAATTAGCACTTACAATGGATGGTGCTGGAAAGTGACCTGTTTGCTCCTACCTGCCACCTCCAGCACCCAGAGCAGCTCTGCCAGTTCCCCAGTTTTACACTGGGCTTGAACCCTGGAGAGTTAATTTCTGCACAGCTTCATCAATTCTTATCCTCTGGAGAAAACTCCAGTTATGAGATAGTCAGAGGATTCTGTGATGTGCAATGGCATCACTACATTAATTTCCTGTTTTATTAACTGCTCTATGTGTGAGTGCCTGTAAGACTCCTGCTGCCAGCTGAGTAAACCCAGCAGCCTGGAGAGAAAAGAAAAGGCTCCATGGGTGTGCTCCTCAACAACAGTGGGATGTCTCTCCCTGGCAACTACATTTAAGAAACCGCTCTACTTTTTTCCTATTTCAGTAATTTTTACCTTCAGGATGGGTTCCTTTTGGCAGGAGGGTGCAATGACTAAATGCAGAGCACAGTCTGCAAACTGCTGCATTTAACCCCCTCAGCAGGGAGACCAGAACTGGCTGCAGGTTTTGTTGGGGGAACAAGAAATCCTGATAGGAGCAGAGAACTGTAGAGCCCAGCCCTGCTGAACCTTCCAGGAGCAGGGACAGATGTGGTGCTGCTGAGAGGGAATGTTCACAACCCCTTCTCTATCTACAGCAAAGACACTGAGGCCAATTCCACCCGTGCAGAGGGATCAGGCAGTGCTTCCCGCTCCACTGAACCTGGAACACAGCAAATACAGGAACTCTTGCTCCAGGGCTGCCAGTTTGACAAATGTCAGGCTTAATTTTTTTTATGTTTGCTATTTTTAAGGTGAACGAGCACTTCCAAGGCCTGAAAACAACTGTGGTTTTCCCTGTACATTCTGTCCTCTCTTATTTGCCAACATTCTCTTCATTTACCAAATTCCAGTACAGAAGAAAGAGATGTGGATTCAGTTTCTCCTTCATTTCCAGAAATTCCATCTAGGAAATCATTAGAGCGTGGTGCCAACAATGCCAAGGCTGTAGTTCAATCCCCATATGGGCCATCCACTTAAGGGTTGGACTCTTAATGATTCTTGTGGGTCTTTCCAACCCAGAGGATTCTGTGATTTCCAGAAATTACATCTAGGAAATCGTGGTACACAGATCCCTTTTTCTCCCAGCTCACCTTGAAGGAAATGCTGGAAATCCTTCTCACTTTTTCCCTTCTAAAATCGAATTCAATTACAAATTACCAAACCCCATTCCATTTCTTCAAAGAACTGTGAAACAAAATAAATTGCAGTGGCAAAAAGTAGGAACAATAATATTGTTCAGGCAGTGAAGAGTTCTGAAGCGAACCTGGAACTTGTGAATATGTAATTATGTGGAAGATACAGTTTGCAGGTTCTTTGGCTGAGGCAGGAAGCAAGTCTCACTTGTAACCTACCAGGTGGTGTTGTCAGTGGGGTTCCAGTTTCTTGGCAGTAGCCGACAGGACGGATATATGGGCTGCTCGTTTCACACCTGAATCAAAGAGAGAAAGTTGGCACCAGTCAGATGGAAAGCAAAAAGAAAGGCAGGATTTCAAATGCTGTCTGATAGGCCTTTGCTGTGTGAGCAGATGCTTTCAGTGGGTGTGATCATGGTGTAGAAGACAAGCACTGTCTCATTGGAATGTGTAACACTGGGTTTTCAAGGCATTCAAGCTGTCCCAAAAGAAAGGGAAATACAAAGTGAATCTTGCAATGTTTTGGTTGGAAGGGATGTTAAAGCCCATCCAGTTCCACCCCTGCCATGGCAGGGACAGCCAAAGCTGCTCTGGGCACCCTGTGCCAGGGCCTGCCCACCCTCCCAGGGAACAATTCCTTCCCAAGATCCCATCCATCCCTGCCCTCTGGCAGTGGGAAGCCATTCCTCCTGTCCTGTCCCTCTGTCCCTTGTCCAAAAGCCATCTCCAACTCTCCTGGAGCCCTTTCAGGCACCACAAGGAGTTTTCCTACCTCCAGTGCTTCCCAGACAGCTCAGGCCACCTCCACTAGCTCTGCACTGAGCTGCCCAGCACCCAAACAGGAAGGGAACTAGTGGGCAACTGGCTCTTGGTGAAAACCCCAAGTAATTATTTACATGCCTGACACCTGATATAAGATCCCAATTTTAGGACCTGCATTTAAAACAGTCTACCTGCAGACATGTATCAGAAATAAAACCTTTACCAGTAGTCATAGCTCTCATCCCAGTTATCGAAATGGATCAGCAGCCGGTTTTCCACCATGTCCGTGACAGTGGCAACACAGACCAGTGAGGGGTTCTTCTTGTCCACTGCTTCCAGTTTCATCCCCAGACGAAAGCCAGAAGGTGTGACAGGCTGGGGAACAGGACCAGGAAATGGAAATCAGACACATTCTTGGTCAAGCCCCTGAAATCTCCCTTATAAACTCCTTTGATCCCAAAACCCACGGACCAAAACAGACTGCAGTGACTGCCAAGAGGTTTTCAGACAGGATTTCCATAAGTTCTGGCAATGACTGTTACTAAAAAAAGAGCTGGTGTGGCTCAAAAAACAGCATTTCCAGGTACACCTACCACTGCAGACTCCCAGGCTGAGACACCCTGCAGTGATGTGCTCAGGATAATGAGCTTTGCACATCCTGTTTTACTGGAGAGTCTTCAAGGAAACCGAGAGTGAGTGGGAATCAGGGCAGAGCTGGGCCCTGATGCCACTGGAGTCACTGACTGTCCATGTGCAGCTTCCAATCCACCAGCCCTTGGGCTTTGTGTCATCCCAGTAACATGAAATGGGAGGATTTCATGGGAACTGAGGTTAACAACCACTGAGAGAGCACCAGTGGGGAAGGATGACAAATGCTCAAGATCCACAGCCCCATAATGAATCCCACGGCACACATGAGCATGCTGCTGGAAACCAGAAATTATTTTGGAAATTATTAAATTAGAGGGAAGTAACACAAATATCTCGACTGCAGGGGCACAGTAAAACAGACAGTTGTAATATATTTAATAAATGGTTCAGTAAATCTTTTCCTCCAGCATTAAGAAGGAAGGGAAATACAAATTCTTTCTCTGGAAAGGAATAAAAATTGTACTAGTTTTCCTTCTCAAAAACAAAATGTAGCAGGAAGTAGTTTGCATCTGATTGTACCCTGGCTGTACCTCTGACATTAGCATATTAAAATCACATAAATATTCTGGTCAAAACTCACTTAGCACCAGACCTATTGAAATCCCTTCTATTCCCTATCACCACTTACACTGCTGAGGGTCTTAAAAAGGCTTTTTGGAGCTGCTTGAGCTTTGCAGTTCTTCAGATAGGAAGTCCAATTAAATTCTCCCTCCTTGAAACCTATGAAGAGAGAAAAAAAGATTGTTTTACGTCTGTTGCCTGGTACATTCTGTTGGGTTTTTCAGAAATGGAAATTGCCTGGAAGGAATATGAACTTTGCATGATAACTGCCCTGCTATGATCTCCAGAGGCTGTGCATTTCAGCTAAATCAGCTCTCTCTTTTTCACCATAATGGCTAATCATTAATCTCAACCTTCAAATGTTTCTAGGAAATTTAATGCAGGAAATAACTGAACCCAGGAAAGAAGCAAGTTCTGAAGCACAGAGAGACATCCAATCCAGAGATTCTAACGTAACTAACAATGTCAGCCTTTGGAAATATCACAGAGAAGATATTCTGCTCTTTTGGGTGTCACAGTGTTAGTTAAACCTCTTCCCTTCAGCCCCTCAGATCGAGCCGCACGATGAAACCACACTAAAAATGAAATATGTAGAGACAGGACATTCAGTTCTTAGTAGAATTTATGGTTTCTTGTACACAGCTCTATTTTCTGTCATACCTTTAGGAGGGAGCAGCTTATGGCTTGTTTTTTCACACCAGCCCACAGGATGGATGTCTGAGGAATCAGCATTAGCCCAGAAGTCGTAGCACTCTGGGTAACCATCGAAGTGCAGTCTCATCCTGTACCCCTGGACCTACAGAGAGAGAAGCTCTGACTATCACCAGTGTCACAAAGGAGAAAGAAAATCACTAATAAAACACTCCCTCGTATTTGTACTTCCAGAGAAAGTAACTTGGAATCTCATTTATTCCTCAAAAACTCCAGTTGTATTTTAACTCCTTTGCTCTCCCACTTTCCACGCTCCTCTTGCCCCACTCCAAAGAGCTGAAAATAGAACTGGGAGTGGAACCTCCCTGAGCTCCTGCTCCATGCCATGCACACATTCCTGGGGTACAAAAGCAGCCCCAGAACTTTTATGCCTACACCGGATCAACCCAGATTTCACATAACTGAAGCTGCATAAAAGCATCCTGATTTGTTTATATTTACTAAGTCTTAAGGCCTCATGGCATTGCTCTTTCTCATACTTGTTCACTACAGGCAATTAATAGGCTTGCTCTTCTTAGTTACAAGTGCAAAAATCTGCCAGTAGGATTTCAGCAAAGATCCTTAATCACATAACACCATTCCTTCAGTGTCACCTTGAACTCCTACCATTAATTAACTAAAGTACTATTACTCCTATGTTTCAACTTTTTATTGAAAAGAATTATATATGTACATGGGACTTTTGGAACCAAAGACAAGGAAAGCAATTACCTCGGCCACTGTGAGGACACAGAATCGAGAGGGGTGTTCAGGATCCACCCCTTCCAATCTCATTCCAACTTTAAATCCATTTCGGCCTTGTGGGAATGACTGATACTGTGAGGGGGGAAGAAACATTTGGTTTTAATTCCTAAAGACAAAATCTATTGCAGAGCAGTCATTAAGCATACTTAAGGCTACAAATTTTTGTATTTCAGGCTTCCAATGTTCAATTCAGAGAAGAAAATCCCACCCCAAGTAATTGTGGCTCCAATGGACAGGTGCAGGCTCAGGGGTCAGTAACAGCACCATCATATTTACTCGTTATTCTAATTAATCTCTCAAAAACGCTGAACTCTTACAATCAGCTACAAACACATCTTTGAGCAGACACAGAAATGAGTCTTCTCAAACACAAAAGCATCCCCTTCTCAGCTCAATGCAGAATCAAAGAGCTGGAGAAGCCACAGTCACTTTGTGTCAGTCCAAACTCCCCAAAGGTAACTTTGTCATCTTCCAATAGTGGAAGGGACAAGGCAGGCTTGATCTGCAGCCCTGTTCCACTGTTACTCCAGAATTTGTGGTTTTCATTTATCTTTATCCAAGTGAACAGTTGAAATACCCTGAAGTGGGACTGCAAATGAGCCAGTGCAGGACCAGACCTTCCTTTTGAGCTGCCTCTGGAAGGAGCAACAGCGCTGGGCTCTGAAGAGCTCCCTGGGAGCTGCATTTAACTGGGTGCAGAGGCAGCGTCAGCAAGGCTGAGCTCAGCCCCTGGCACCTCCAGGTGAGTGACACAACCCCCAGCCTCCCTCCTGAGCTCAGCTGCACTCCCTGAGCGACCCCACAGCATTTCCTGTGCCAGGAAGGGATGGCACAGCCTGGGAGGGCTCTGGACAGCCACACAGCACAGGGGACAGACTGTCTGTCTGTCTGTCTGTCTGTCCCTCTCCAGCCGTCCAACAGCAGATCCAAACCCTTGCTGCTTATTTCTGAGATTCAACCAGCGTTTTTTACACCCTGGTTTGGGATCAGACCCCCAGGGCAAATGCCTGTTTCCCTGGGCAGAAAACAAACATTTACTGCCTGCTTTTACCAAAACAACTCAGAAATACAAGTGCTGACTTCAGGGTGGTCTCCAGTCCCACCTCCACCGAGCCAGTGATCCTGTGACTGCCAGTAATCCTGGGATGCTGCCCGAGAAAAACAGCAAGAGAGTGAAAAAAGCTGCCAACCTCTCTGAACAGCTTTTGGGGAGCAGCTGGCATCTGTTCCTCTTCCAAGTAGGAAGACCAGTTCCATACCTTCTTCTTTCCAGGAAGCACTAATTAATCAAAACAATGAGAAAATGAACGTTTCTCTCTGACTCCTGCTCTGCTCCTCCTCCCATGCTTGCTGTGGCACCCCAGGAGAGGCAGTGTTACTCAACTTTTGAGGAAAGGTAGGAATTCCAGCAATAGGAAAACCGTGCTCATTCCTCAGGAAATGAACATTTATTGTATCACAGCCCAAATGAACTGTGGCACCTGGACTGCTGCCAAGCTGCCCACGGAAAGGTGCCACGGGAAAGTCTGGACGAGACAGAATAACTTAAAATTGGGGGAATTAATTCTTCCTCCTGACATCTCACAGAGGAGTAAGGGGTTAAATATAAACTAACAGGCAGCACAGAGAGGCATATAATTGCAGCTAAAATAAGCCTAGAATAAAATAAATGAAAAACCAAGTGATTATTTTCCCAGTTCATAATTTTATATATATATATATATATACATACACATATATATATACATATACACACATATATTTATAACCTCCTAATAACACAATGCATCTACTAGAGAGGCAGCTCCCAGATGATGAAAACAACTTGGATTCGTTCTGGTAGAACCACAGTCTTACACACAGAAAATTATATAAAAAATATAAATAATTATAATATATAATTATATTAATATATAATATATCACTAATATATAATATCATATATATATTTTACATAGTATAGATATTTTGTATCTATTATATATAACATATATTAATGTATATTAATAGGTAATGATGTAATATATAATAATCACAATAATTATATAAAATATATAATGCACATTAGATATACATCATTATTTAATAATGTATATTAAAACTCCCCCCCCAGTTACACACTGACTGATTTAAGGTATGCAATACATTTAACTCATAGTCTACAATCAATCACGTTGTTTACAATTTATTTTTTACTTAGCACAGTAGGCTGTGGCTGAAGTTCTCCAAAGTCAATGGAAAAAAGATTGTTATTGTCTTCAGTGAGCTGTGGATGAATCTGACTCCTGGCAGATCCTTACCCTGTGCCCATCATGCAGGCAAATCCAGGATATTCCTGCTAATGCACCTCTGAAGCTGACTGTGGTAAGAGGGTTATGTATCTCATAAGCTGTTCTGAATGTGAAATCAGCTCTCCTGTCCTTTCCTCTTCTATTTATTATTATTCACTTTATAATAGCTACTAAAAAAAAATCTATAAACATTAAAGAAAAGAGACTATGAGCTTAGCTCACCTTGTTTTATTGGTTTAGTGTTTCTGCGGCTTTTCATATTATTTGATTTATTCTTCTCCTAGACACAGATACGTTAGAAAGAAGTTTAGCAAGATTGTTTTTCCCTCCCTCTGATCATCTCACAATGCAGGTACAACACGGATGTAACAGGGAACTAAAAGGACTATTAGCCAGCATTGCTGTCTCTTGAACAACCCTGAAAAAACATCAGGAGGGAATGTTACACAGATAGCGCTGATCTTGGTATCCCAAAGTGCTTTACAAGTTATTTAATGTATGCAACTGAAGTTCATTTAAATGTGGCTGCTAAAGAGCAGCACAGGACCAAAATCTGCATTACAATACCGAGGATTTACTTTCTGCAATGCAGGATTTGCTGCTCATGTCAGCAACCTTACTGGAACACTCCTTTTTCCTTTCCCTTTCTTAGTCCATCTGTGCTGGGAAATGGATACAGGGGAACAAAAGGAATTTATGAAGCCCTGAAAGAAGCAGAAGCTTCAAGTCAATCCTGTCAGAGATGAGCACCCCAGACAATGTGGCCTCCCTGTGTCACACTCCAAGCCTGACCATCATTTGTGTTTCTTCTGTGTGTTTGCAAACTCAGGTTTGATTCCTCCCAGGCTGTCATTTCTCAGAGCAAACTGTGCCATACAAAGCTGCCAAACATTCCCCAGAAGGGACAGGGGGCAGTTTCTAATGAGGATGAGGAGAAGGGTGAAGAGAGAGACTGCAACGGCTTCTGAAAACATCCATCCCCTAAAACATCTCCCCCATACCCCAGAGAAAAGCTGAGCAAGATGATGAGTTAAACTGCTCGTGACAGCAGAGGCTGCAGCTTTATTTCCCACAAACACCTATCCCTGTTCTGCCCCACAGAGCCACTTTTATAATGTGAATAAACATGAAATGGCTCAGAAAGGCCCTGCTGGGCGGGAGCAGAGCAGAGGGGGGCACAAAAGGCGCCAGGAGGGAGTTAGGGGCTGCAGGAAACTGAAGGAAGGATCAGCTCAGGACCGAGGCACTGCTGTTTATGCAGGTTTCTGGTGGTGCACTGAGAGTACCTGCAAGTATGTAATAAAACCCAAACAAACCCCCTGGTTTGACACTGAGCTTCAATAGCACACAACAGTATTTGAGTGTAGCTATTATGGAGACAAGTGATGTTATTACTGCAAACTCCTGACTTTCACTTCACCTGAGCTATTCACTCACCCCTGTGACTCCTCAGGACAGATATTCCCATCACAGATGTAAATCAGGATCAGACCCAGACCATTCCCTGGGTACAGAACAACCCCCCTCAGCCCAATTTGCACTGCACAAGGAACTCTGAGACAAGTGCCCCTGCTCTTCACAGCTCTCTTTAAAGGAAGTACACGCAGCCTCATTTACCTCATCCTCACACGTGTTTTCCTCCTCATCCTCCGAATCCAAAGGCAATCTTCTCTTCCTCCGGAGACGTCTGACAGGTCTGCCAGCCTCAGTCACCTGACAGCCACTGCTGGTAGCAAGACTGCCATTATTCCCTGTTTCTGCAGTCACCTGGAATGTCTCTGATATCATTAAACATCCAGAATTAAAAACAACATCAAATTAAAAGTGCGACATTATTCCTGCACTGTTCCAAGTGTCTCTGAACCTCTTGGAATGAGGAGGCCTGGGCTGAGGACCTGAAGAAATGAAAGGTGTCTGCAAGATTTCCTGGATACAGAACTGTAACACTTGGTCTGACAGGTTCATTCTACTCACAGCAACACCACGTTCCCTTTAAATGCTTTCAAACAAAAAATGGGAAAAATCTGGGATATCTGTACCTCTCCCTGTGCTGCTGGGAGCCTGTCTGAGCACAAAGCTTTCCATTCTCAAAGTAATCCATTTGCTCACAGGTTTGGGAATCGGAGCAGGGCACGGCTTGTCTGGGCACTGCAGAGGTAAAGAAAAATACAACTTCTAAATCAAAATGTTGAAACACCTTTCAGGCAATGTGTTCTGTCAAAGTCCTTTACAAACTTTCATTAACTGACACTCAGTATCCAATTGTGAGGGAAGGAACTATCACCTGTGAGCTGCCACACCACCTCAGTAGAGAAAACCCCCTTTTATTTGTAATATTTTCATTTTGGAGCACTGGTCTCCAGTAGTACTCTCAGGCACACCTTGGTTGACTTGATGATCTTAAAGGTCTTTTCCAACCTTACTGACTCCATGATACAATCTGAGAGGGAGCTCTGCTGAAACAGTAATTTATTGAAAGGAAACTGGTGATTTACAGAGTGAGTGATGCTGAACAGCCTGAAGGGCTGAGCCCAGGGAAGAATGACCCACGGTGCAGCAGTTTGTGGAGAGCTGCTGCCCGTGGGATGGACTCACTTTGAGAAGTTCATGAAAAACTGTCTCCCGGGAGCAGGGAAGGAATGTGACTCTGTGTGACCCTGAGCAGCGACAGGAACAGCCTGTGATGAGCTGAGCATAGCCCCCATTCCCATCTCCCTGTGCCACCAAGGGGAGCAGGGAGGGCTGAGAAGGAGGGAGGGGTTTGGCACCCACCCCTGCTCCAGCACAGCCCTGCACTCACACAGCCTGTCCTGCTAAAGACATCACAGCAAATCCAGATGAAGAACTAGAAAACCCATACAGACACACACAGGGCAGCTCTGGAAAAGGAATGATATGTGGCAGACTCCTGAGATTCATCCTTGAAGCTCGAAACACAGGCCACGCAGGAACACTTTATTGGTCCAGATGAAATTATTAAAGTGTGTTAAATAGTGTCACTGTGCATCTTTTATTACTCCTGACCTGCAAATGCAACCAAGCATCAAAAAAAACCCCAAACCAAACCAACTAAAAACCACTTTTCTGATGAGCAAATAGCTGCAAAGATTACTCACTCCTTGATCTTCTTTGCTGTGTGCATTATGGAGCCACTGAACTCCAGAATGAAAGAGGCAAGTCAAAGGTGGTTGCATTTGCAAGCTCTGCTCTGAAGCCTTTATTCCAAGCACTTCATTAGTCTGAGATCTTTCCTAAGCCATCTGCACTTCACTGAAACATCAGTCTGAAAGCACTTGCTTCGCTGTGAAACAGGGCTCCTTGATGAATGGAGTTTCTCTGGCTTCTACTCCTGTGTGCTTCCTGGCCTCAGAATCCTGCCTCTAGCGCCCTATCAAAGCTTCATCCCAAATGTTCTTCCCTCTCTTTATCTAAAGCTTGTATTTCTTAAAGCTTCAGAGATGCTGGACTTGCTTCTGAAAGGCTCATGTCCTTTTCTGCAGCCCAAAGGAGACAGAGCATAATTTTCATTTCAACACAAAGAAAAATATCCCGTTCTGAAAAAATGATAATTCTAAGTGGACTCAGCTTCCTTCAGGAAGTTCACTTCTCTCAAACACTGCAGAGCAGCAGCATCCCAGTGCAGAATCCCGGGGCTGAGGCCGGTGGGACAGCTCAGTGCCAGGGCAGAAGGTCAGGGGAAGGAGACCTGCAAGCTCCAGACAGTTCCTGTGCTGGGAAGGGACCCATGGCACTGCAGGAGCAGAGGTCTCTGGGGCAGTGACGCTCCTGCACACGAATAAACAGTTGTGGTTCTGCCCAAACTGCTGCAGACAGAGGCTCTGGCTCCCTCCTGCCATAATCTCACAACGCACCTGCGGCCAGGTGAGCTGGGGATGCCCAAGCCCAACCCCAGAACACATTAATTTGCATTAGAAAAACAACAAGCATCTTTACTAACAGTCCCTGATCTGGGGGTGAGGCCTGGCTGATCACGGGGGCAACCTCCAGTTTCATCCCACAGCTCTATCCCTCATTCCTAAGCTCAGGAAATGCAGAATTTACTATCAGGACTGCATCTTCCTTTACAACAGAGCTCAATAGAGCAGGTTTGGTAATATGAAATCCACACAAACCCTTCAGAAATAATCTGTCCTTCCAGAGATGTTCTTGAATGGTATTACGGAAAAATGTATTTTGTGCGTGCAAGAACTGGAATAGAGCAGGAAGAGAGAGAGGGAAAAGGGATTAAACAGAAATATATATATATATATATATATATATATATATATTTGGCATCTTCAGGACAAAGCAGCTCTCTGGGCAGCCAGTTATCATGTTCCAGCTGAACTTTCCAGCCAGACCCACTAACCGAGGGCTCTTACACTTGATCATCTAATATAAAACAACACATTACTATTTGGTATTTTTCAGTCTAATAAATAACGTGGTGCTTTGTGGATTCTCTGCTATTAGGAGGAATCAATAAAAGTGAAGCTGTTTCTGTGAGGGAATGTTACTGCTGGGAAAGGAGCAGAAGTGTAATGGCTGGGATTGAACACAGGGCAAAAGTTACACCACTGCAAAACAGCCCAGAGGAGTCTGTGGACCAGTTCCATGTTTTATGGGAGTGCAGACTGCTCATCTCGGAACACTCCAAGCATGAAGGTTTATCTGCTGGCAGAATTGTTTCCTCACAGCTTAAGGTCCTTCCCAGCCCTTCCCCACTGCTCAAAGGGAGCAGGAGGAAAGGGAAGATCATCGACACTGGTCTAATGCTGGGGGCCTGATTCTGAATGCCTGATGTGGTAACAACAACCTGATTTTCAGAGCTCTCAAGTTCCTTCAGCTCCAATTCAGCTCCAGGAAATCTTTCCCTCCCCAAGACTCAGAACTTGCAGTCTTGAAGGCAATTCTGTGTATTTGTTTTCAGCACAAATGAAAACACAACAGCTGAAGCAAATTGGCAAATGTCAAGAGCCACTCCCCCATCCCTAACACAGAACCCCAGATCTGTCACCATCAGACCTTGGTTCTGATCCACCAGAGCCCTGTTTGCCCCTGAACTCCACTCTTGACCTGAAGCCCTCAACTTTCTACCGGCAGGTTCAGTGTGAGCACAATTCAGCCAAAGGCTGGACCTGGTGCAGGGTACCACGGGCCACTTCAGCACTCCTGCAGCTCCAGTTCCAGCCCCAGCACGGCTCTTTATGATTATTTTAACTGAGCCAAAAGCAGGACAGATGTTTGCAAACAGCAATAGCAAAAACCTCTGGGTAGCACAGGATACTCTCTGTAGGAGCTCCGCAGTTTCCACTGGTTTATCTGGAATGCAGATGTGCAACATCTGGGACACGGAACACATCTCCATCCCCACTGTCCCGATCCTTCTCCTGACACCAAACAGCACTCAGACTGCCCCACAGAGATCCCCACCTGTACCCGAGCCGTACTTTGAAAGGATTATATTTACCCCTCTCTTTATTCACCACCGACTTCCCCTCCCAAAATCCCCATTCCATTAGTTCTGCACTTTGAATTTGCTGCCAGAAAGTTTCATGGCCGCTTTTCCCGTCACGTAAAATCTCTGTTTTCAAACTTAAGTCTTTCTGCTTTTGGGGGTCTCCAAGAACTGTTTCTATTTCACTGGATTTATATGTTTGTTAGTATTTTAACTTGTCACAGTTCCGAGGAGTTTCACCGCAGCGACGCCCAGGCGGGACAACCCCGATTTTCTGCACCGCTTCTTACGTCAAAACTGGGCAAAGAGCGGCTCAGAAACTCTGAACACTTTCTGACCGTGCAAATACCTCAAAGCGCCGTTCTGCCGGGGTCCGCGGCCGGCCTGGCGGCGTCTCCTCCCTCTGAGGGCTTCGAACGCACTTTGGGCCCCGCGAGGCCCGGCCGGCCCCGGCCCGGCGGCGCCACCCGCGCTCCGGCAGCCCCGGAATGGCGGCGGCGCCCCCGCCCGGCCCGGCCCGGTTCGGTTCGGCTCGGCTCGGTTCGGCTCGGTTCGGTTCGGTTCGGCCCGGCCCGCCCGCACTCCCCGCGGGCCCGGCCGCCGCCGCTCCGGGGCCTCGCGATGGAGCCCGGGCAGCGCCGCGAGCCCCGCGGGCCCCGAGCGCATGCGCGGCCCCGGCCCGGGGGAGGCGGCGCTGCCAGGGGACCGGAGAGGGGACGGGAGAGGGGACGGGAGCGGGACGGGAGCGGGACGGGAGCAGGACGGGAGCAGGACGGGAGAGGGGACGGGAGAGGGGACGGGAGCAGGGACGGGAGAGGGGACGGGAGAGGGGACGGGAGAGGGGACGGGAG